TACATATTATACATACTATATATACTATATATATTTATATAGCTATATATAAGCAATTTATACGAGTATATACATATATAGTTTACAAGAAAGTGCCTTAGATAAAAAAAAATTAAAAAATAGCCCGGAACGAAAAAGGCCCGTTAGGCCCGTTTAGGCCCGCGGCCCCAGCCCATTTAGCCCAGGACCATGTGGGCTTAGGACCACCGTGGGCCGGTTCCACACATTGGGACCGTTTGGCCCGGGACCGCCTCAGCCCGGCCCGCCTAAAGCCCAGACCCGTTTGGCCCAGCCTGTTTAGGCCCGTTTGGCCCGGACCACAATACAGCCTTAGGAAGGAATTTCAAAGTCTTCTTAGGAATTTCATGTGTTTTGGTGCTAAATCTGTAGTTCTAGATGTTATTTTGGCGATTTGATCGCACTAGCAAGTTCGTATGATATTTAAGACTTGTGTGCATGTTTGGTTTGGAGCCTCGAGTGCTCGGGTGAATTTCGAATAGGTTACAGAGTGATTTGAACTTACAAATTTTGCTTGTATGCTTGCAGACTTGTTTTTGCATTTTGTACGCGCAATTTTTTTTATTCTCTTGTAAAATTTCATCCGAGTCCATTACATAAGATTTTTTCATGTTTAATTTCATTTTGTGTTTGCCTATTTCACTTCAACTTATATTACTTAATTTACTCTCGTATGAATATACAATAAATTTCAAAACCAAACACATAAAACCCTAGATATTAACTCATCAAAAGAATCCCACCGGTGGTTGTGAGAATGCCCAATCAAAAATGGTGCACTTGTAGATCAACTAGTACTTTTGTTGTTTTTAAAACTTTTGGTCAAAGTGTTGACATAGAACTGGGTCAAACTGTGATCATCATCATCATCCTTAATTACACGATTAAACACTAATATTCCTTAAACAAAACAAAACCATATCCTACATATATTGACTTGGTCTGCTTCTGTGTCTGCTATTCTAAGAAGGTCCAGGACCTTAAGAACCTCAAACAGGTAAATTCTGTCTTCTTAGTAAGTAAAAATCTTGGATTTTTATGCTTGGCCCACAAACTTCCATGTAATTTTTTGCAATTATAGTGTTTGGAATCTCCTTTAATTAATGAGATATGAGGGACTTCATTCTTGATTTTGAGAACTTAGCAGAGGGCATGTTTTGGTATTTCTTTGATGTGTTCGATTTCCTTGCTGATGAATTTCTGGTTTTTGCCTTTTTGGTTGAAGACTTTCTTGCCCACTTTATCTGCCAAATCTGGATTGCTTAGATTCTGCTCTCCATAATTTGAGCTTTTTACTAGTCCACTGTTTATTTTGGAAGATATTTTAGCTGAGTCAAAATTATTAGATTTTGTCTGTTGTCTAGATGGATCAAATCCAAAAGGCAGTATACTATTGCTCAGTATCAAAAGGGGGTCGAATTCTGTATTCTTATATTGGTGGAGGAGATGATGAGATTGAGAACTTGGCTGGACTGTGCTTGGAAAAAACACCTTCTTATCATAAGTGGTATTTTCAGACCATGGCTAAAAGGACTTTTGGGTTTTTGATGGAAGAGGGGTATGTTTATTTTGCTATTGCGGATGAGGGTCTTGGTAACGGTGAAGTTCTTCGGTTTCTAGAGCAATTGAGGTACGAATTCAGAAAGGTGGCTAGAAAGGGTTCTGGCCGGAGTATGTCGAATTTGAACTCACTTTGTGTACAAGAACAACTAGTTCCTGTTATTCGACACTTGATTACTTCGTTGGAGCATGTATCTGGATGGCCAGCAGATACTCCTCCACAGCACGGTGGCAACAATGCCAATGGACAAATTGAGGGGAGTGGATCTTCGACAAGAGCCCCTTTGTTGGCCAAGCCTAGTAGACAAGACAAGAAGAAAATGAAGGATCATGCAATTGCAATGAGAGGTATTGAGTTGGAGGAGCACCGGAAATCTACGGAACGAGCTAAGGTTGATTCAGGAGTTACTGATCCAAATAATCAAGGTGCAGGAGTTCTTCCTCCACCTATGGTACAAAAGGAGTTTGGCTTGGTGAGGACTAGATCAGGCTCTCAAAACTTCCAAAGGAGGTGGTGTCGCCAAGTACGGATTGTTCTTGCCATTGATGCTGCAGTATGTGTTGTGCTATTTGTGATTTGGTTAGTTATATGTCGAGGTACAAAGTGCCTTCGCTGAGGTCATTGTTCAAAGTTTTGAAACTACTCCAGCCACATTATTGAAGAAGATGGATAATGAATTTCACAGCTTCTATGCGTATGTCCGAGTATAAATTTCTTTGCACTTTATATAGGAACTTATTGTACAGTGATCTCTTGTTTATGGATATAGGATATAGTGCGCTACAGCATATCTGGAGGTTCTTGTTTGGCTAATATAGTCCGTGCTTGCAGCTCCAACTTTCTTGCCAGAACCGAAAGTAGTGTGCTTCCTGTGATTATTTTGAAGCTTTTGTTTTTTCAGTTAGTGTTTTTGTATATTTAGAACTCCCTGCTTTTATGTGCACAAAACATGTTTTTATCATCTCCCTTGCCTTTCTGTCATACATACTCTGAAGTAAAATACAATACAGCATTTGTCTGCTCTGCCGTGCAAGCTGCATCTACTTTTCTACAATGTCTCTTCTGGGCTTTCTGAAAATTTTCCTTTCTTTTCTATTTTACTCTTGGAGGGTAAATTTTCCTTTTTAGTGGTTGAGGGAGGCGCTTTGCCCTGCCGTGCGAAGGACTATAAGGAACTTGCCAAAATTGAGTATGCAAATAGTGCGGCAGGCCTTCCTTAATGATGGGGTTCGGAGAAAATAACCGATTCCAGTAGTAGAGTAACATCAATATATCAATGATGACCATATAGAAAGAACAAATCAAATGGAAATATTGTCGGTTTAAAGGAGAAGAAACAACATGGAGAGCATAATTACAGTACCCAATAAGTTTGACCTTTTTTTTTAGTACTTATCAAGCTGCATTTTTTGGTTGTTGTTAGATATTCAATGGAGCAAAACAAAAATGTTTCTTTCATAAAAACCTTGAATGTGTTACTGACGGCAGAGGAATAAGAAGCAAATTGCATCAGTATAATTTGCTGTAGGAAATCTATAAGCACACAGGATTCGTTTGGTTGAGCCTAGTGAAACTTTTCCTGGTAGAATGAAAGTAATTTTACCCGTTGGTATCTAGGAAAATGAAGATTGAATGTTAGTAGTTAGGCGAACAATTTTGAACTTACTTGAGCTACTCTTTTGATATCTAAAATATGAGAATCAATCTGCTGAGTTTTAGATGGGGAAGTGTGTTCGTTTTCAACATTCTGTTATTTGCTTTAGTCAGGCCAGAAACTGGAGTTTATTATGGTAGTATTTTGTAATACCTTTTAATCTGACTGCTTATATTGCATTGTACTGAGCTCACACACTCCCCTCACCCTCTCTTTCTGAACTATTGTTAAAGGTATAAGCAATAGTTTGTTTCTGAATAGACTGATCTTTATCAATAATTACCAACAGCTTGAAGCCTTGGACCTATTTTGGGTAATCTGTTGCTCCTCTATCTCCTTAACTTGTGATTCTTCATTTATATAATGCTGTCCAAGAAGGGCCTTGGTGGTTAGTCATCTTTCTAGATATCATTGTCTTTAAGTGTATTCAAGTCCAGAACCAACT